CCTCTCTCCCTTTCCCCTTCTCCTCCCCGTCTCCCACAGGCCCCTGTAGGTGGATATTTCTTTGAGCCATCAGCTCACAAAAAAAAAATGACATAGAGACTTATTAATTATGAAAGCTTGGCCTTAGCTTAGGCTTGTTCCTAACTATCCTTATAAATTGTTTACAATTTATATAATTATTGTATAATTATATAATTATATATAATTATTGTATAATTATTATACAATTATATAATAAATTGTATACAATTACAACAGAATTTATAAATTAAATGAACTTATAAGATAGGGATCTTTTAATCTATGTTCTTTTTTGTTGCTTGGTTCCCTTTACACTGACTGTAGTGCCCATGCCACTTCCTTTCTAACTGGTTGGCGATTCTGACTCTTCTAGGAGTCCTCCCTGTCCGGAAGTCCTGCGCATGCCTTCTGCCTTAGCTACTGGCGGTTTAGCTTTTCTATTAAACCAGTTATAGTGACACGTCTTCACACAGTGTAAAGGAATGTTCCACAACACGGCCCAGCTCCGTCAGGGTCATGTCCACTCTGGACTCTTCCCGATGTCTCTGCCTCAGGCTCTGCTCTCCCTTTTATCTGTGATAAATTTTCTCCTCCACCACACCTAGGAGCAGTCATATCCTTTCATTTTTCTTTTCTTTTCTTTTCTTTGTTTGTTTATTCTCTACTCAGTTCCCCCGAAGGGGTTTTCCCCCACTTTGGCTTGTGGAACCTCCCCCTTTTCCTTAGCCTTTCATGGGCTCAGATGGTTCCAGATGGCTGATCCTTCGCCCTGGGCTAGTGTCCTCACCTGTATCCCAGGTCAGCACGGACTCCTCTCATGGCAGTCCCTCTGCAAACTTCCGGGTTCTCTCCCTGTCTTGCGTTCTTCTGTCTTGTGAATTCTAGCTGCCTTAGCTTCTCGGCAGCCCTAGCTCTTTATTACCAGCTTGAGAGGACTGTGAGGTCTCCTGTGTTCCCTCTTGGGGGGCGGAGATTGTGCTCCCTTCTGGGGGGGGTATGGTGGTTTGAAGGAAAATGGCCCCCAAAGGGAATGGCACTATTAGGAGGTGTGGCCTTATTGGAGGAAGTGTGTCACTGGGGTTGGACTCCTATGCTCAAGCTACTCCCAGTGAGACAGACCACTTCCTGTTGCCTACAAGATGTAGGACTCTCAGCAACTTTGCCAGCATCGTGTCCCACCATGATGATAATGGACTGAATTTCTGAACTATAAGCAAGCCACCCCAGTGAAATGTTTTCCTTTGTAAGAGTTGATATGGTCATGGCGTCTCTTCATAACCATAGCAGCCCTAACTAAGGCAGGTAGTGGTGGCGCATGCCTTTCATCCCAGCACTCGGGAGGCAGAGACAGGCGGATCTTTGTGAGTTCAAGGTCAGCCTTGTCTACAGAGCTAGTTCCAGAACAGCCAGGGCTACACAGAGAAACCCTGTCTTGAAAAACCTATTTGAAAAAAGAAAAGAAGCCCTAACTAAGACAGGGCTTTGCTGCATTCCCCCCCTCATGCAAACACCTGAGATCTCCTTCTAGGCAGTAAGCTAGGACAATTTTAGGGATCATCTGCTCTCCTTTCTCTTGTACACTGCTGCCCTTCCTTGTCTGCTATGCAGTGTCCTCAAGACTATTCTTCAGTGTCTTGTGTGGATGCAGTAAAGAAACTGCCAACATGGCCACTCCATAATACGGTTGAGGTTTTTAATCCCAGCACTTAGGAGGCAGAGACAGTCAGATATCTGAGTTCAAGGCCAGCCTGGTCTACAGAGTAAATTCCAGTCCAGCCAAGACTACATAGTGAGACTGTGTCTTAAAAAAGAAAGAAAGAAAGAAAGAAAGAAAGAAAGAAAGAAAGAAAGAAGGAAACCGGCTGGGAGACTGCTCAAGTGACTGTAAAAGCACACACTGTGCTCACATGAGGACCAGGATTTGGGTCCTGGCAAGCAGAAAAAAAACCAAGTGTGGCTGTGGCCGTGGCTGGGGGGAAACCAGACAGGGGCTCCCCCCTTGTTGGG